CCCGCCCTCCCGTCCCGGCTCCCCGGCTCCAGGCCCTGCTGCTGCTCCTGGACCAGCTGCCTCCAGGTCCACGGTCATTCTGTTGCTGTTGCCGATGGCGGTGTCCTCAAGGAAGCACGACTTGATGTGGACTCTCTGGGCCACATGCCCATCGGCGTGAGGCCCCATTGTGGGCGTGTGTGCTTCAAATGACACTTCTGGGCCGGCAGTGGTGGCAGAGACTGCAGGTGGGCGGGCAGAGAGAGAGGCTGGGGGGCGCACCCCAGACCTGGCCCTGCCCTGTTCTCTGTTCCTCCCAGACTGACTCTCCCCAGGGGCTCACTCCAGAGTCATCCCAGCCTTTGCCTAGGCACCCCCCGCACCTTGGCTCACACCGTCAGCCCACTGGGTCTGCCCTCCTGAGCCCAGCTGAGCTGACTGGCCCTTCCTGTCCTCTGGGACTCAGTGCCTGACCCTCCTCCACCCCCTGCTCATCTCTCTGCCCTCCTGGCAGGTGTTCTAGACCTGAGGTTTCCCACCTCTGGTGGAAATGTGAGCCCAGCCCACTCCCCTCTCAGCAGATGCTGCCCCTGGGCCCTGGGGGCCTCCCTGTCTGGTCATTCCTTCTCTGGGCTCTGCTATGCTCCCCAGCCCGCCTCCGGACGCCCAGCGTTGGGAGGGTTCAGCCCTGCCTTCCAGTCTCTGCGTAGTCAGCATTCAGTCGGGCACCAGGGCTCAGGCTGGCTCTGTCCCCTGATGCCATCCTGAGCCTCGGGTTCATCATCTGGGAGGGGCCTTGGGGGGTCGTGCCCACTTGACAGACGAGGAAGCACGTTCCAGCAGGTGGCAGCAGACCAACCCAAGGGCTCCCGTCCCGCCCTGCTCTGGTACGCCCTCCCTCCTGGGAGAAGGTAAGGAACTTCGCATCATGCCCCTCTCCCCGCAGGCTGGCTCAGTTCCCAGCCAAGAAGCAGAAGGGCGGCGGGGGTGGGTCTGCAGTCACCTGGGGGGCTGCCAGCAGGGTCGTGGGCAGGGCTGTCCGCGGGGGTGCCGTGGAGGCTCATCTGATTGCCGTGTCCCAGCTGTACCCGTCGGAGCAGGGTCCGCTCCATGTGGATGTCCTGGGTCCCCCAGGTGCCAGCCGGGGGCCCCTGAGTTGAGTCCCCTGGTCCTGGTGGAGGCAGGCAGGGGAGCGCGGTGGGACCTGGCAGGGGAACACGGCACTGTGCCTTGACTGAGGGTGACTCCAGGTACCTCCCCTGCCCCTTGCCCTCCTCCCCTCACCACACCCACGAAGTCCCACTGGCAGAGGAGCCGGAGCCCGGGGCTCCTCCTGGACACCCTCTGACCAGGCCCCTGCAGCTCAGGGGAGAGCAGCTCGTGTCAGGATCCCGTTTCCCACAACTGTAGCCGGCGCCTGGTACCGCGTGCCCCGTTCCGTGCCCTGGTTGTTCTCATCCTGGCCTCAGCAGGGCGAGTGCCCTTTGGTGCTAACCTGTCCTCAAGGCCTCTCCTCTGGGGGTGAGCTGCTTGGAGCCTTGGAGCCTCTGGCATGGTTTTATTTTGCTGCCATCCATTTTTTAATACTCACAGCAACCTTCAGGTTTTCAACTGAAGGTAATTCTACCAGGGGCCAGCAGGCGGCGTGGTGGTGAAGGCTGCGGGATCCCACATGGCCGACTGAGCGTTGTGAGTGCTGAACCCAGCAGCTTGAAGACATGCCGTGTGCACGTGCATGCCCCAAATCCCAGAGGTGCCTGGAGAAGGGACTGCGGCAACATGGCCATTCCCTCGGGGGTCATTACTTACTTTTCCTCTGTCTCTCTCCAGTGAGTGCATGCACCCTATAGCAAAAACTAACAAAAATAAAATTAAAAATGTAGTGCTGCAAAATGTTACGTGAAAGTAATATGTGTTTTTTTTAATGAGCTGTTTTACGACAGTAAAGAAACAGGCCCGGGCACAGCCAGCTTTGTGCCAGAGGATGGAAGTTGGGAAAGCCATGGTCAAGATTCTAGAAGGAAGTTCCTCATTTCACAGCTGGGGAATGGAGGCCCCGGTGGGGAGGGGCTCTCTTAGGTCACAGGCAGCGTCTTGACTTCTGGGTGGATGGCCCCAGCTCAGGTGACGGCTGGACTGCCAGGTGGCCTGTCCCCTTTAGTAAGGCGTGGAGTGACTACGGGTGCAGTGTCTCGTTGGGCGAGGGTGTGCCATGTGCTCTGCTTCCTGTCCCTCAGCATGTCCACGCGGGGGACAGCGTGTCTCAGACTGAACACGGGGCCTTCGAATGTTCGTGGGCAGAGCACCTTACGAAGAAACTCTGCATAGACTTCCGTTTTTTTTTTAGAGGTTTTTACCTTAGGGTGTACAAGGTCACTAGAGACAGAGACAGAGAGAGGGAAAGTGGGCAATCACCCCTGGGGGGCTGGCCCTTCTCCATTCTCCTCTGGGGCTCTTGGGCACACACATGTGCTCGGCATGTTTCAAGTCACCCAGTCTGGGACTCGAACCGCGGCCAGCCACGTGGGAGTCCAACGATGAGACCACTGCGCCATCTGCTGGTCTCTGGATTTCCGTTTTTGTTTTTGTTTGTTTTTTTTTTGTTTTTTTTTGCAGCAAAATAAACTTGTTCATTCCACTTGGAAGTCCTCCCCTAAGTGCTATAACCCCTCCAGTATGCTGAGGGAGACGGATGGAATCTTTGCCACGGGACGAAGCCAGATCCCACTGAGAAGGCAGCAGGGCGCAGGGAGAGGGAAGCGGGGTAGGTGTGGCGTCCTCCTCGGGGGGCCACAGGGAGGCGTGGGGAAGGGAAGCTGCCCTTTCTCCTGGAGGGCGATTCCCGCCCCCGCCCGCCCAGACGCAGCCCGCGAGGTCCCAGCTCGGGGCGTGGAGTCAGTGCTCGGTCGCAGGGCGAGGTGGGGTGGGGGTGCTCCCCAGGGCCCGGGACCCTCACCGTCCTCCCCACAGGCCACGCATGCCATGACATTCCCGTGGCCTATCTGGGTGGCCTCCGAGTGCGAGATGGAGATGTGGCCGTTCGGCCCGTTCTGGCAGATCATGTTGACTGGGTTTTGCTGGTAAATGATTGGGTTGGGCTGGTTTCTCCTTCCAGCGTCTCCTGCAAAATAATATCCACGCCAACCCCTATGTACCTGTCCGGGTTCAGGTGCAGCTGGCAGCATAGGCCCTCCTGGGCAGAATGTTGGGGGTCCCGAGTCAGGGGTCTCAGGGGTGCCGCCGGACACCAGCGCGTTCCACGGACCCACAGGCAGCCCAGTTAGAGCCTCAGGAGATCACCATGGCAGTCACCTGCCTGTGTCCTCTCTGCCTCCTCCCCTCAGCAGTCCTCCAGGATTGCTATCCACGAACTTCCTGCTGCTCTCCCTGACCTTCCTTTCTGTCCTGAGAGGCACCGTAGCCCTGACCACTGAGTACAGGACCTGCTCCCTGAGGAACAGCCATGGAGCAGCAGGCAGGGTCTCTCGGTTTTGTCTGGCTCCTGTGGTATTTTTCTCTTGTGTTTTTTTCCCTTCTTTCCTTTTATTTATTTAGGTTCGCCAGAAAGAGATAGAGAGACACAAAGAGAGGTACGGCGAGAAGTCACCTCCCGGGAGGATGGTCACACCACAGTCCCTTCTCCTCTCAGGATTTTGGGCACACGCACATGTACCCAGTGTGACTTTTCAAGCTGCTGGGCCCGGGATTTGAACCGCAGTAAGCCGTCTAGGAGTCTAGCACCTTAACTGTTACGCCACCTGCTGCTTCCCCTATGGCGTCTTAAAGACGTGGATCTGTCGCCAGTGCTTAGGGTCTGGCTGGCCTGTGACTACGTCTCCCTCCGAACAGCGCAGGACGCCAAGCCCCTGGCCCCGGGAGCACACGGTCCCCACCCCAGAGCTTGGGGGCTGTTTTCTCTCTCGCCCTTGGGCCATGCCTCCAGGAGGCCTTCCCTGTTTAACCCCCACCAACCTGTCTCTGTCTGTGGGGTCCCCCCTGAACTCCCAGGAATGTCAGTGAGACCACTAGCACCTCCCAGCAGGCTTGGCAGAGTGCCCAGTGGGACCAAGGGTGGGAGCAATGTCCCTCCAGCAACTCTGCCCGTGGCCCCAACCCTGCCCAGTGCAGGCAGCTCCTCTCAGGATTTTGGGCACACGCACATGTACCCAGTGTGACTTTTCAAGCTGCTGGGCCCGGGATTTGAACCGCAGTAAGCCGTCTAGGAGTCTAGCACCTTAACTGTTACGCCACCTGCTGCTTCCCCTATGGCGTCTTAAAGACGTGGATCTGTCGCCAGTGCTTAGGGTCTGGCTGGCCTGTGACTACGTCTCCCTCCGAACAGCGCAGGACGCCAAGACCCTGGCCCCGGGAGCACACGGTCCCCACCCCAGAGCTTGGGGGCTGTTTTCTCTCTCGCCCTTGGGCCATGCCTCCAGGAGGCCTTCCCTGTTTAACCCCCACCAACCTGTCTCTGTCTGTGGGGTCCCCCCTGAACTCCCAGGAATGTCAGTGAGACCACTAGCACCTCCCAGCAGGCTTGGCAGAGTGCCCAGTGGGACCAAGGGTGGGAGCAATGTCCCTCCAGCAACTCTGCCCGTGGCCCCAACCCTGCCCAGTGCAGGCAGCCCGGGCCCACCTGGCTGATAAATCGTCCATGCTCTCAACCTCTCGTCGAAGTCCAGAAGGTGCCAGCTCTTCATCTTGTGCAGGTCGGGGTTGACCTCCCTCGTCGTCCTCTTCCCCAGGGCCTGGGCGATATGCAGGGCCCTCTGGGGTTTGCCGACCTCCTGGAGAAACCTGTAGATCCTTTCCTCTGGAATTAGGGTGGCCAGGTGGTTAAGGGGACCCCAGAGTGTGAGGCTGCTTCTCTGCTCCCCGACTCTGTGAACCTGGATGTTAGCCAGCCCCACTGGGCTGGTTTCCTCATCTGGGACAGTGGCGCCCGCAGAGGCTGCCCGGAGGGCCACAGTGCGTGACGCCCTCCGCGCGTGACTGGCCTACAGCAGTGCCCCCACGACAGCCAGCGTCCGCCAGAGACACCACTGCTCAGTCACTGAGCTTCTACTGTGTAGACCGAGTTTTACCTCTGAACACTTTGTGGGGCTTCTTTGTGGGCAGAACACGTGTGACATCTCAGAACCTCCAGGAGGGCCTGGGGCCTGAGGGTGAGCCTGTGACCAAGGGATGAACACAGACGAAGATGCTTACGTTGTTCACTGAGCTGATCGTCAGGACTCTGCAGAACCACAGCTCCATTGTGCTGGGGCCTCCCGGGTGCAGACGGACAGAGAGCTGGGTCAGAGGGCGGAGGGTGGTCAGTTCCACAGATAGGCCACGGGGCCACAGACAGGCCACGGGGCCATGAGCATTTCAAACCCAGTTAAGCACACTTGGCTTCAAACCCGCCCTGCTCCCTTCCAGCTGTGTGGCTTCCTGGCAATGAACTTCCTTGGGACTCAGTTTCCTTTTCTGTAGGCGAAGAGAAAGGCCAGGACCAGCAGTTGGTGTAATGGCTGTCTCTGGACTCCCATGTAGCCAACTGCGGCTTAAGTCCTGGACCTGGCGGCTTAAACTTACGCCGGGCACGTGTACGTGCATGCCCAAGAACCCGAGTGGAGAACGGAGAAGGGATTGCGGCGTGGCTGTCCCCCCTGGGGGGCGATGTCTCGCTTTCTGTCTCTCTGTCTCTGTCTTTCTGGCGAGTGCACGTGCCCTATAGCAAAAACCTCTCAAACAAACAAACAAACAAAGGCCAAAGGTCATTGTCTTCCTGCCCTGAGACCAAGGGCCTGGCGAGGATGGGCAAGCCCTGGGTGCAGTCTGCCCAGGCCGCAGTTCTGAGCGCTGTCTGCGGTCTAAATGCAGGAAAGGGACCCCGCGCAGCCCCGAAAGGTCCCTGTCACGGTTCCCACTGTCACCAAGGTCACGTCGCTGTGTACTATCATTTCTTACTGTTTCCCTGAGCAGCCCCGCGCACTGACACCGGGCTGAACCCCCAGGTTGATTCTCCGCACACTCAGGGGCAGCCCTGCTCATCTCGTCACAGAAAGAGAAGCAAAGGCCTAGTGGGCGCCTCATGTGTCCCCAAGGGGCAGAGTCCGGTTTGAACCCGGGCCCGGATCTGGGCTGTCCACTGCCAGGATGAGTTCTGCTGGGTCCAATGCCCCCCCCCCACACCTTCCCCAGGGACGGTGAGTCACCTCTGCTGGGCTGGGGCAGCTCGGCAGGACCCTCGTCTTCGGCCCCATCCCCACCTAGGCACCACGTTGCGGGGGCTGCCAGGGAGATTTTTGACTCGCCCTTCATCCGGTAGAGGACCTGGTTGAGCTCCTTCTTGGGCACCTGGCACTGCCTCACCAGCTGGGCGATTCTCACAGGGCAACCAGCATCCCCCAGGACCTGCAGGATCTTCTGTTCCAGGTGGCCTGGGAGAGGGAGAGAGGCAAAGGTCAGCACTGAGCCTCTGGGGGCCCCATTGTCCAACTGGGGCTCTGGGAAGCAGGGAAGTCCCCCCTTCTGAGAGGGGTCCAGGACAGAGATGTGGGCAGAGACTGGAGCAGACCACCCCTTGCGGCCACAGCTACCTCAGCTCTGAGAGGAACCTGGCTGCTCAAGAAGCACCTCACTGGCAGCTGGTGGCCAGGGCAGGTGCTGGCCTTCCTGTGCCCTCCCCTAGGGTGTCCTGGAGGGCAGAAGGCCGGCCTGTCAGTTGTCCCCAGAGCAGAGGGGAGCAGAGGTGGGGGACAAAGCAGGAAGGAGAGAGAGAGGGGACTGGGAGAGTGAAGCCAGGCCCTGCCTGGACCCCTGCCTCTGGTGTTAACCAAATCCAGCGCCATCCCCTGGGGACCCTTCCCCTTGGCTCCCCAGAAACATCGATGGTGTCACTGTTTGTCCCAGCTAGAAACGCTGTGGACACTCAGCAGGTCTTTCCTCCAATGCCAGCTCACGGGGTCCTGGAAACATCACTCCTGATTTCTCTGGATTCCTCCCCCCTCCTCTCCACCCTCACTCCCATTCCTCATCACCCTCCCCTGGACAATAGCAACTGGCTCCCAGGTGGCCCTGGCCCTGGTGGGGGTCCCTCCAGTCCCTCTGCACGCAGGGGTTCGTCTTTGCCACCCTCGCTTCCCTCCAGGGGCCAGCCCACCTGTGCACCCACTCACTCCAGGGCCTTCGCACACACTGTCCCCTCCCTCAGAAACACTCCTCCCCCTTTCCTTTAGGAAGCCATCCTCCATGCCCCCAAATGGGTGGGGTGCTGGCTGTGTGGGGGTCCCAAGGCCCTCAGCGGTGCTTGCCTAGCCCACCACTCTGTGCTCTTGGGAATTGTCAGTGAGTGAATGAATGAGCAGGTGAATGACTGAATGAGCTGGTAAATTAATGAACAGGTGAGTGAGTGAACAGGTGAGTGAGTGAATGAACAGGTGAGTGAATGAATGAACAGGTGAGTGAGTGAATGAATGCACGAGTGGCTGAGTGCATCTGCCTTCACTGGGAGCACAGAGGAACTCTCCTCGCGGCCCCTACCCCTCCTGGGGGCAAACTCCAAGAACCGAACCTAGCAGCTCACGTAACAAGTAGCTGCTCCCCAGGGACCAAGAGCGGGCTGATTCCGGGTATAGGTAGCAGCCAGAGCCAGTGCTGGGGACAGCTGCCATGCGCCATGCCCAGCCCGAGGCCAGGGAACTTCTCCAAGAACCCCAGGGTGCCTCTCTAGGGGCGAGCTGGGTGCCCTCCCATGGTAGTGACTCCGCTCCTTGCTCTGGGCTTCCTCCAGCCAGGGGAGCCTGTGGTGCCAGGTTCCTCGGTCGCTTCTCAGTGGCTCTCAGCCCTTGTGGCCAGGTTATCCCCAGCCTCAGCCCAGCCGTGGTGGTACAGGAGGCAGCATGCCACTCTGAAGTGCTGGAGCCCCGTGAAAGACCAGGGTTCGAGTCCCTGGTGGACCTGAAACACGCACATAACCCTGGACGGCTGGGAGGCTGGGGAGGGGGTTGTGGGGTGGCAAGATCGTTCAAAGGTGCCTTTCGCTCCTTCTCAATAAAATAAGTAAACTTTAGAAAAAGCGGTTTTTAAAGAGAAGTTTCCACCTTGCTAGGGGAAGACCTGCCTCCCCCAACCAAATCCCCAGCGCCAGGGGCCCATTAACAAATTCAAACCTGGCTTCGCCTTGTCTTGTAGGTTATTCTTAACCCCCCACCCCGAAACACACACACACACACACAGGAGCCCCCCGCTCTTCAGACCCCCCAAAGGAGAGCTGAGGGGCTGAGCTGGCCTGTCAGTAGCAGACAGCACGAGACTAGTCAAAGGGGACGCCATGACTGGAGCAGTGACACCCGTGATAGAAGGGGAGCTGGCAGGGCGTGGCGAGGTAAGAAAAGGCAGCTACCCTACTGCAGGTTACCAGAGCCTGGGGACCAGCCAGGGCTGCCGGCCCCGCCTGCCCGAGGCTACCCTCCTGCAGTCTCCCTCCTTTCTAGTGGGCTGGTCCCCTGGGCCAGAGCCAGCCCTGCCCTCTGCTTCACCCACAACTGCAGGTGTGGCGAGAGTGGAGGGAGCGAACGATAAAAAGTAAAACACGGAAGCGTGCCCTCGGCCCAGACCACGGTGTGAGCCACTGGGGCACAGTGAGGCGCCCGGCATGCGGCTGCCTTCGCGGCCTCCCTTCGCGGCCTCCCTTCGCGGCCTCCCTTGGGAGTCGATCGCTAACCAGAAAGGCTGCCATGAGGGCGAAGCAGGAGGAAAGAGCCAGGCAGGTGCAGGTTCGATCCAGCAACTGCCTTCGCATCTCAGAGCGACGGGCCAACGGCAACACCTGGGCCATTGCACCTCTGGGGCTTCGGTGACCTCATCCAGAAGATGAGAACGTCCCTGCACCTGCTTCTAACGACTGCTCTGACATGCCTGTGCGCGAGCTGCCGGGCCGGGCACAGGGTCCACACCGAGACGCGGGTGTTCTCCTCTGTCCCAGCTGCTCATCGCGGTTGTCATCGCTGCTGCTTTACCTGAACCAAGGGTAGGAGCCAGGAACCCAGCCGGGAACTCAGTGCTCCCGGAAGAAGCAGCACTCTACCTACCTTCTGTGCTCGGCTCCCTGGGGGCCTCAGCCATGATGGCAGCAGCTGCCAGGAGCCCAGCAGACCTGGGGGCAGTGAAGGCTCCTGTGTGAGGCCTGGAGAGGGCCCGGCGGGCCGGGCTGGGCCGAGGCTCCTCAAGTGGCTGAGCCTGGGGCTTCTGGCTGCTCTGGGCTCAGCAGGGAAGGATACCAGTTTCAGCCCGCAAGTGTCAGCTGTTCCCTCCGGAAACAGAAGCTTCGACAGCCCAACCCCATCAGCTTTCTAGAGAAAAAGAAAATGAAACTTCCTGTGCAGCTTTCGAAAGAAACAAAATTGAAAGCAGGATTGGTGAGCAAGATGACTGGGGGCCCTGGCTGGGCGTCCACAGGGAGCACCCGGGTGTGGTGAGACCAGTGTCCTGGAAAGACTGTGGGCAGGGCTGCCTCCCACTTCCTGGTGCCCAGTACTGTCCACCCGACCCCACACAGAAGTCAAGACATTTGGGGAGTGCAGGGGGCCCTGTGACTGTCCCTGTGTATAGAAATGGCGGTGCTCCTCAGTACCTACTGCGTGCTCCCGTGTATGGAAACGGCGGCGCTCTTTAGTGAGCACCTACTGTGTGCTCCCGTGTATAGAAATGGAAGCTCTCTTTAATGAGTACCTACTGCGTGCTCCCGTGTATGGAAACGGCGGCTCTCTTTAGTGAGCACCTACTGCGCGCTCCCCGTGTATGGAAACGGCGGCTCTCTTTAGTGAGCACCCACTGCGCGCTCCCCGTGTATGGAAACGGTGGCTCTCTTTAATGAGTACCTACTATGCGCTTTCAGTCTCACGTGTTCCTCCAACATGCCCGCAGGATAGGACTAGTGCTATCCACTCTTCTCAGAATGGAAGCTGAGGCTCAGGCCAACGAGGGCACTTTGTGAGGCCACACTGAGAGCCTGTGACAGGGCTGTCCCCTCTGTCCCCAATCCGGATTCTTGTCTGCAGCATTTGGAAGTCACTGGTGAGGCAGCCCACGCTGAGCTCCCAGCCTTACCATAGAACTTGCTTCGGAACATCAGAGTCAGACGAGAAGGCCTGCCTTCCTGTGCTGACTTCACGAAGATGCCTGAGAAGACATCTGGGGGCGTGCTGCTGAGTGCTTGGGGACGTGGGTTCAAACCCAGCCTCCCCATGTACTGACTATGTGACCTTGGACAGGTTATTTAACCTCTCTGCGTCTCAGTTTCCTCATCTGTAAAATGCTGTTAATAAATGTACCTCCCTCACGGGGTCATGGTGAGGACCTGGGAGGTTAAGGCGGCTGCGTGTCTGGCCAGTCTCCAGGGCCGTCCACAGTCACATGCAGAGGAGCACCCACACAGATGCTTCTGGAAAAAGGATTTGTCCTTCTCACAAATTCTCAAAGGAACCAGTGATCCCCACACAATTCAGAATCCTTGTTCTCTTCCAGACTATAGAGGGGAAACTGAGGCCCATGGGGCGAGTGGACTTGTCCAAGGCCACCAGTTGGGGGGCAGCCAAGGAGGTCAGGACCTCAGCCCGGGAAGCCCCTGAGCTTTCAGGCTCATGGTGCCCCAGCAGCGGGTTGGGAGGTTCAGATACCCACACTCCCTGCATACTCCCCTCGCCCTGGATTTCTGCACTGGAGGGGGTCCAGGAGCTGGAAACACAGACTGGGGAGGGGGTACCTGGCCGGTCGGGTCTCCTGCCCTCGCTGCAGGAGAGTGGCTTGAACCAACCTTCCATGTCCAGGCCACAACCAGACCAAAGATGTCCAACCCCGGGGACAGACCTGGCTTAGGGATGTTTCGCTCCCCATGGCTCTCCTAGCACTTCCGGACGGAGAACCATGGGTGTGGGACCAGGCGCCCAGCTCTTACCCCCTTTTTTTTGTAAAACCGGAGGAACATGTATGTCCACGTGAAAGAGCGATATTACTCCTTAGAGGCGGCTGGTGGGGTGCTGAGGGGGTTGTTTCAGGCTGAGCCCGGGAGGCCCAGCCCTGCAGGTGCCTGGGGGCACCATACCAGGACCTGCCGCCAGGTGGCGCCCGCTCTCCGACCTGGGATCCTGGTCCCTGGGATTTGGGGAGAGGACCTCCAGCCCCCAGCCTGGTTCAAGAGTGGACCTGAAGGGCTGGGGACGCTAAGACACGCCCATCGCTCTGTCATCCGTCATCCTTTCTCGACCTCTGTCTTCCTCTCAGTGATTCGTCGTCCTTCCCTCCTCTTCCTCGAGGAGGTAGAGTCCAGCGGGCAGAGCGACTGGCCGTCTAGGTCCATCTGAGTCTTCCCTGGCAGCTGCCCTCCGCTCCTGCAAGCCCTGTCTCCACCTGCTGCCAGGCTCACCTAGCGCCGGCCCTTCTTCCTACCTTCCCTGCAGGGCTCCCTGGCTCAGCCCTGCAAGCTGGTGGCCTCTTAGTGTGAGATCCCAGGACCCTGAAGGAGGGGGGCTTTCAGGGCAGGCTGAGGGGCCTCAGCTTATCTTGGGAGCTGGCTTCGCTGGGGTTGCAGGGGTGACGGCATCCCCAAGGACTGACTGCATCTCTCTGCTCGGTGTCAAATGGCCAGCCCATCCTCTTCACCTGCTTTCTGGGACCACCAGGGCCCGTACTGCCTCTCTGAGCGCTGCCCGGGAATCTGCAGCAATGACCTCCACCAGGGCTGTCATGGGCCTACAGTGCCAGCTGTTCAAGGCTCCATCCTGCCCTCTGCTCCAGGGCGGGCTCCAGCCACCCTGCTCCTCCCATCCTGTCACCACCTCTGTGAGTCTCAGTTCCTGTAAAGACAGACAGTAAACAAGAAATGGCCTTCTGACACTTGGTGTGTGTCCACGCCTTGGCCCAGCTCGGAACATGTGCTGCCGTGCATCTCCCAGGAGAACTTTAGGTACTAGGCAAACACAAACACAAAACAAAACAACAAAAACAACACAGAAGGAAGAGCAAGAGAGGAAGAGGAGGAAGCATTTTCTGGAGGGGGTGTCCCATTCGCTCCCTGTCACATCTGGAGCCACCGCTGGGAGCAGAGCGCCTCTGGCCCAGACTGGATCCTGTGGGTAGAGGGTTGATTATCCGCCCAGCTGTGCTGCCGCCTGCAGAGACGGCTTGCAGGCTGGGACTGTGGGGAGGCTGGGGTTCGATTCCAGTCCATCCTAGAGGCCGGGCGCGGTGGCGCTCACCTACAACCCCGGGGGCTCATGCAGACTGAGGCAGGAGGGTGACCAGCTCGAGGATGACCTGGCCATTACAGGGCCCTGTCTGGAAGGCCGAGGCAGACACCTGCAGTCCCAGCTACTCGGGCTGAGGCAGGAGCATGACAGAGAGACCCTGTCGTTTACAGAAAGAAGGAAAAAGATCTGCGCTGTCTTGTATTTCTCCTGCCGATTTAAGAGATTTTCAAGCTCATTCTGACCATTAGGATTGTCTCTGACCCTAATGTCAGTAGCTTAAACAATGCAGATGTGTCTTTCTTTCTCCCTAACAGCTTGGCAGGTGGTCCAGGTTGGTGTGGTGACCTGGGGGTCCTTTCATCTGGTTGCTCTGCCTTTGTGGCCTTCCTGCCCAAGTTGGTTTTGTGTCCTAGAATGGCTGCTTCAGCTCCAGTCATCACCTCTGCATTCCTTCCAGCAGGAAGGAGTAAGGAGAAGAGCAGGTACCTCCATGTTGAGAATAGATCTTGCAAGTTGCACACACATCCCACTAATGTCCCTTTAGTCAGACCTTGGTCTTGTGGCTCCAACGTGCAAGGGAGGCTGAGAGACATACCTGTATTCTGGCCTACAGTGTGCCCAGATAAAATTGAGGTTCATTACTTAACAAGAGAGGACAACAGATACTGGCAGGCACCTGTCGTCCCTACCATTGTGAGGCTGTCCCCCAAGGAGGGAGCGAGGACACCTCTGTGCTACAGGTGGCCCCCACTGGAGTCCGTCACCCAGCAGGCCCTGCCGAGCCCACGCTGAGTTCACAGGCAGCTCCTGTATCCCAGAGCCTCCATCCGCTGTGAGAGGCAAAGGGGAAGAGGAGGGGAGGCAGGGAGGCCTAGGCCTTCTTTCCCTGCCTGGGGAGAGCCTCAAGGCCACAAGACTTTCAGGCAGTGCTGCCACCTGCCACAGCCCAGGTCCCTTTGTCTTGGGAAGAGGACCCCTTTCCATGGCCCCTGTTCTTCTGGAAGCTGTTGGAGGCCTCCACCCAACCCGACGGCAATCACGCCCCTGACCTTAGCCTTGCCGCCATTTTCTCTCTCTTTTAAAAGAGAGACTTTCTGGCCGTGCATTGTGTTGGTAGAATCTAAGCCCCCTCTCCACGAGCACCTGGGTCTTATTTTCGGACTCCTCTGGGAAGTCGCCAGGGTGGGAGGAGGGAGGTGAGGAAGCAGGGTCTGCGGGTGACTGTCTTTGCAGAGGGCGAAGGTCAGAGGAGCAGCGGAGGGCAGGGCCATGGTCACCACCTGGGTCTGGTCCCGGCACCCCCACCGTTCAGTTCTGTCCTGAGCAAGTCACTGCTCTCTCTGCACCTCAGGTTCTCCTTTGAAAACGTGGGTCATAGGAACACCTACCTCGTGGAGCTGTTCCAGGAATCAAAGGACTTATGTGTCAGGGGGTCCTGGGGTGCTGGGCCCCCAGCTGTCCCCCGGGCGTGGAGCAACCCAGTCTACGCATCTAGCCAGTTACCAAGTGATATGTCCTTTCTCCACCGGCCACAGGCTAGGGCCCTGCCAGGGTAAGACCCCACAGAGGAAGGTCCCCTTGCTGCTTCCTGGCTCCACTTGCCCCTCCAGTTGCAGAGGAGACCACACTGCCCGCCCAGCAGCACCGTCCAGTGAGGGAGACCTGAGTCGGGTCACCTGCTCCTGCACCCAGGGGAGGAGAGGTCAGGAAGGGGGAGAGGGGCTAGGCCCTGGAAGGTGGGGTGGAAACCTGAGCCAGTGGGGGGTGGAGGGGGACCGAGGTCTCACCCATGGCCAATGGGGAGCCCAGGAAGGCAGCCTGCCCCTGGGGGAGCAGTTGATCGAGGCTGAGGAAAGGCAAAGCAGCAGGAACTGTGGGCACGCACTCCTGGCCTCCTCAGCTCTTCCTAGGGAGCTCTTCCGTACACCCCAATAATCATAGCGAGATGAATTCATGTCTAACTTTTACTTTTATCATTGAAAGCCTTTCTATAAGATAGCTTCCAAAATTCTTTGCCTACAACAAAGTCATTAATTACTATTGCTCACAATAGCCGAGCGCTATTCTTGGGAATCCTGGCAACACGAGATTTCACCTGTAAATTCCGTTCAAATATGATGAAGGGCAATGAATTTTATGATGACTACATGGAACGATTCATGAACTTGGCATGACATTTGGTTTTCTAGATGTTTAATTAAACATTTATTGATTTTGATTTTGCAGTGGAGCTTTTTCCCTCCACACTTTGGAGCTGAAACATTTCCAAAGGCTCATGAGACCTGAGCAGGCCTGGGGTACTAAAGCTTCCATCCCTAGGAGGTAAGATGGAAAACAGAGAGACTCGTATGACAGGGACGGCACCCCCGGTCCTACGGGTGAACTGAGGGGGAAGCAGGGCTGTCGCTGGGTCCACGGAAAAGACAGGGCTCCAGATGTGCAGATTTTCCGGGGCCTGCCTCGTACCCTAGTGGTTAAGGGAGCTGGACCCCCATGGCTCGGCCCCGGCCCTGGGGTGTGTGTGCACACTGAGGTGGCCCAAATCCC